TGGGGTGATGAGGGGGCACTCAGAGAGCTGAAGGAGAGCCCTGATTGGAAATGGAAGGGAAGAAGGAGAGGTTGGTAGAGTGGGAGTGAAGGAAGTGTTTCTAGTAGCCACTGGTAATAAAAACTACCACTGGAATGACATAGTCCTTTCAGGTTTGTAGTGTTGTCTTCAAAACAACCCTGCAAGCTAATGGCTGTAAAAATTATTATCCCATTTTACAGATGAGAACATGGAGAGACCCCATGGAACAGATGAGAACATGGAAAGATACATACACATGTACACATTGCCCCAAGATGTTCCATAACTTGCTCATGGTCACAGAGCTGCTGTGTCAAGGTGGGTCTCTGGACTCTGAATGTTCTTTCCATTATGTGCCATATCGCCTCTTGGCTCCCACTAGCCCTGGAAGGCGGTGGGGGAAGAGGTTCCTTACTTATCTAGAGTTCCCGTAGAGTTCGTCTTACTATCCTTTAGGTTCACTTAGAGGTTTTCTGGAAGGTTTCGGAATCCCTTCCCCCACCTCTCAATATCTGACTTCTGAACTTAATCCAACACTCTGCCAGTGGCATCCTTGGGTGTCACTCAGAGGACCTACTGGCAGCCACAGGGAGACTAAGAGGGGAACATTTCCCTAGCTATATAGATCATTATGTTTCTCTTAAGCTTAAAATAAACCATGACTTAACCTTTCAGACAGAACTGAGATGCTTGAGCTGGGCACATGTATTTTCTCAGATGCTGGGAGCCGCGTAGCTTGCTCTTAACCACAACAAAACTGGATAAAGCTCTTCATGGCGAGTCGTTGGCTGAGCTGAATGCAAAGTCTGTGTGTGCCATAGCCCAAATCTTGTACAGTTATGAGAGGTACTGGCAATATCTTGACTAATCTTCAGAGACTGAAGACTCCGAACTTTAACCCCTAACAAGGGAAAGTAAATTAGCACTTAACTGGCAATGAATTAAGGCCTACATTCTTTTTTAACTTTAGTGTATGACACCCTTCATTTGCTGGGGCAGAAACAGTCATAAGGATAAAGCCCTTGCTGACAATTTCAATTTATTGTTGCCCATTATGGCTAATGTTTTTTACCTAAAAACCGGTTCAAAGGGAATAAATAATCCTAATAAAAAGTGACTGTATATATTGTGTATTATTTGAAGTTGGTGGATCAAAACCAGGAAAAAAGTTTTAATTTATTTGTGGGATATTTTTTAATGTGAACATATTGTTATACTCTGGGTATGTGACATTCTTGCTTAATAGAAACATTTACAAGAACATATACACACAAGTCAACATGGCAAATGAAGTAGATACTTTAAATGCTCAACTTGCACCAGAAATAAAATATATCACAAAAATAAACAGAGGTTATGTCCACAGTTATTAATACTTTCTACACAAAATGACAATAAATTAAACCACATTATATGCATATAGTTCTACTTACATTGGTACAATGCACAGGGTGTATCTCGTGCAGCTTTTGCTTTCGCTCCCTACCAGCCTGGGAGTGGGTGAGTAGGCTTGTATAATCTTGAGTCTGTCTCTGGGTTTAATTTAAGGATGAATGGCTTCATCCAGAAGAGAAGGGGTCAGTCAGACATCTACAGTTTCTACCCTGATCCCCCTTGGTTTCACTTACATGCCTTACAAATGGAAACAAGTCAATATTTCCAAGATACATCATATGGGTATGCAGGTCAAGCCTATATGGTCATATCTCCGGGCTTTTCAGGAGATCTCTTATCCCACTAATAGGAGTAAAACACCTCCTCAGGCATTGAATGAGTAAGCCACTACATAAAAATCCCAAACCTCCTCATTTCTTGCTATCTTCTGCCCACTTTTGATGCCTGTTGTTCCCTAATGAATAAAGAAAAGCTAGATGTAATGCAAAAGGTGTTTTTCTTCCTCTTGTGCCAAGTAGCTTAGCTAATTTTAAACAATCAAAGCAGCTGGGTTTTTTTTTCAGCTTATTCAAGCTTATCCTAAGACCTATCCAAATACCTGAAACACCAAAGAACTAATAAAATGTAAGACTTTTTATTTCTGATGCTTCATTCATATTTAATCTTTTCTGAGTCTTAAGTATCATATCTTAAAATGTTCATATTAAGAAATATCAGATTATTTGGATTGCTATTTTGCCTTTGATGTACAATGAATTAGTGGTTAATGAGAAATTTGAACAGAGCCTAATCTAGCACCCTTTGAAAGTCGTATTTATACCAGAATCTAGCTTTTGAGCATCTCTATCACAAGAGACACCTGTGAAGTATAAGCTTTGAAAGTCAAGGAGTTTGGTTTCTTTTCATATCTAGATAAGACTGATTTATACTACTTCAAAAGCTTGTCTAGAGCTAACACACAGATTCCTACAAGACTGAGATATTTTATCTTTTTTCCTTCAAAAAGTATGCATGTTTGAGTCACAGGTTTTTACCTGCATAGGCAAGATGCTGAGGCTACCTATAACACACCTGTGAATAGAGTTCAGTCTATGTAAGCTGGCTCTACTGCACCCTGCTTCATTAACTGACCCTCCAACAAATACCTGAAACAATCCCTCTTCCTGGTATTTTTGTGAGCCCTGACATGTCCATAACTACCTATCTCCTCAGTTTGGCTCACAGGGGAGCTAATGATTGGGGATTAGATTGTTGTTGTTAAACTACTTTTAAAGGGTGATAAGGCAAAAACTCTGACAAGCTATCACTTCTCACTCCCCCCTTCCAACTTCTCACCTCAAACAGAGGAGGTTTATATTTTTCCATCACTTAGCTATGTAATAGAATTTATTTCATTTTTAGTTGGCTCATTAAGCACTGAGCCATAGGTTAAAATAAACTACCCACAAAATTTTAATTGAGTTGCATGATTTTGCTTGATGTTTTCTTTTCTTTCTTTTTTTCTGCTTTTTGGTGAGGCAATTGGGGTTTAAGGGATCATACAGCTAGCAAACATCAAGTGCCTGAGACTGGATTTGAACTCAGGTCCTCCTGACTCCAAGACCAGAGCTCTATCCACTGTGCCACCTAGCTGCCCCTGGCATTGTTTTAAAATAATTTTTTACCACTTTCAAGCACTCAATATACTCTGTTACTAAGGAACATTGCCATGCATTCTATTCTAATATCGTCTATAGTTACATAGGTAGTGTACTTTCTGACATACAATGTATTTGGCATAATTTTCTATCTTTTCTGAGAACATTTCCATGAATTGTTTATGTATGCTAATTTAACCAGAAGCCATTAGGCCATGGATTCCCTTCTCTCCAAGCTATTTTCAAAGTTCTTGTCTTTGACTGGATGTAGATTTTCAAGTTAGATGAATTAACTCTTAAAAATCAAATCTCTGTTTTTAGAGCACAACAGAATGCATTGACATAAGGATTCTGCGAAAATTACTTCCTTTCTCTGGGGCTCAGTTTCCCCTCGTTTGTAAAATGGGGGGGAGGCGGAAGGGTTGCAGTTTGCATCAAATCCATAAAGTCCCTTCGAGTTCAGTGATTATGGGACATCTATGACATAAGAAGAGCTTGGATCAGGTGGTGACTGCACAAGCAATGAACTCATGAGTTGGGAAGAAAAGTAAAGCAATAAGGAATGCTGAAAGAAATCATGACATTTTGATGGGAAGGAAAAGAAAAGCCATTCACTGGCAGCCTGGGAAAAGGAAGCCTCCTTCCAAACTTTCCACCCCTTCTAAAAAGAGTCTGAAATGTAAAGAACTGGTTCATGGAATTTGGAAACAAGCTTATGGCTAAAGGAAATAGGAGTTGCTGATTCTCCAAAGAAATTCAAAGGCTTGTCTATAGACTATTATAGACTTAAAGGCAAGTTGTTGAAGAGCTGGCAAAAAGAAAAAAAATCTTTTACCTCCAAGTTAAAAGCACCATCTGAATAGATTGGTGATAGATAAATTTAAAAACTTTTATTTTTTTTCCAAAGCCAAGAATAATTACATTTATTTTGATCACTATTATTTTTAATCTATCTGTGACTAGACTAAAAAATGCTAAGAGTTAGCATTTTTTAAGACTGTCATAAAAGTGATGTACAAATCCAAACTCCATTTATCTTAAAATTTGGGAAAAGGATATTGGTCTTGGAGTGTGAATGCCAAATCTCAGAGACATAAATGGAACACTATGGTTTATCAGTTTTAATTCTAAACCAGAAATCAGAACCTCAAGAGACCTAACCCTGACTTTTTGTGTAACTTTGGACAAGACATCTGACTTCTCTGTGTTTGTCTTCTTATTCACAAAACACAGGGGTGGTTCTCTATGGATCAGTCATTTTAATGAGGAAGTAGATTTTGGTTCAAGAGATCCACTTTAAGAAGTAATTACAATGACATGTAGAAAGGTAAGACTCTTAACATTTATGACATTTTTTCCACATTCTACACTAGGTTTTGATCATTTTGACCACACCAAATTCTAATTCCTAAAGAAATTTAACTGGGTCTATACTGTGAAGTCTGGAAGCATTCCTCTACCTGCTATATTCTGAAGAAGGGAAAAACTCTCAAAGATGGATTTCAAGTAACTTGTGGCCCAGATCCTCCTGCAGAATCTTCTTTCAGAGCCCGCTCACATGGTAGAAATTTAAATAGAAATGTTTTTACAAATTACATACAGACACAGCAACAGACAAGAGCAGGATGATCACGAAAGGCTGCTGTTACTTCTTTATGCAAAACATCTGTGAATAACCACAACAAAGATGTGCTTGCTCAGGTTCATGGAAATGCTATGGATGTAAAACTTTCAGTCATTTTCACTTTTTGTGAGGCACTAGTTGATAGCTGCTTTTTGCATCAATTTTTATTATTTTAGCATCTCATTCAAAAATTCCCCTTTCCTACATGGAGCCTGTAGGACTTGCCTTTATTGTCTTCTTTTCAGTTTAATTTTTGTTACATTCAGGGCTCCACTGGGAGGGAGAATGTCACACAGAAATTTTGAAGCAATTTTATCAGTACATGAAATTAGAATGTCTCCTGGCTATCTTTACTTTATTTAAAAAGAAAGAAGAAAAAAAATCCCTCCAAAAAACAACCAACTTATTTGTTTTCAAACAGAGGCACAAGCCCTTGAGGAAAGTGAGACATGGACTGAGTTACAAAGGATTTGAGTTTTGCTAAGACACTGTCAGCATTCTACTCTGTGAGCTAAAACCTAATCATTATTATTTCAGAGAGAAACTTCTCCATCCTAAAATGAGGAGCAGTGATTTGTTCTCCTTTCGATGGATGGCAGAATAATTAGCAAGATATCTGTCAAATACCCTCTGCAAAAATACCAATTTTGGGGATGTAGACATGTAAAACAATCCCAGCTTTCTGAGATTTTTACCTCTCCCAAATAAAAAGTAAAATGATATCTTGACACCTCAATCTACATGTATTCTGCTAGTTATACACTGAGAGGCCAGGAAAAAATTGATCAATTGAATTGAAATCCTAATACCATATCTGGTACTAAACAAGAATTATTGGAAAAACCTAAGGATTTGTGGGTGTAGTCGGAGAATCATAGGAGATAATTACATTCTTGCTCTCACCAAATAATTTTAATAATTTTTTAATGATTACCTTTTTGCATTGGTTAAATATAGCTTATTATAATCTTTCACTATATTTATAAGTTAGAGGTGACAAGTAGTTGTAAGTTTACACCTTAGGTGATAAGCTGTCCTCTAGAAGTTGTATTCTGGTGTTAGGTTCTAAGTTGTCCTCCAGAAAAAAAAGTTGCCTCCCTTTATCTACAAAACTTAATTCTATTCCTGTACTTATAGATACTGATTCCTAAACCCATCCCCACTTCTTCCCAGATACTGGTTGGAAGGGCATATGTCACTGATGTAATCTGCTTTCCAGTGTCCGATGTACTGCTATGCCAATTGTTTGGAGTTTAAAGTGACCGTTTCTGCCTCTTCATCATTAAGGGATCAACGTATATTCAGTCAAGGCCCAAGGGAAAGGAGGAGAAGAAGAAATATGCCTTTCAGCCTCGGTATAGCAAGAAACTCACTGCTTTGTACCATTATAGTTCGATGCACTTTCCCATGTTTTAGAAATATTTCATTCCCCTCTTATTTTTGAATTTTAAACAGGTGTGAAAAATAGATGTTTCCTAATAGCAAAAGAAAAAGATAAAAATACCTAAGAGTAAAATGTTACTGTGGAATAGATTTCTCCTCCTTATTAAAAAAAAAGGCTCATAGTAGTTGTTTTTCCTGTACAAAACTTCTCACATCTCACTAGTATTTACAATTTATTTTTTCCCCTGGAATGGGGGCAGGGAGGAGATCTTCATTTTAGACACATAGTCAGATTCTGACAGCACATATTGGCTAAAGGACAAGTCAGTCCTGAACTTTAAAACTTCCTAGCAGCTCCAGAGAGTGACACTGTTTTTCCAACCTTTCCATTTCTCATTAAGAGAGTTCTGAATGTTAAATCATTTCCAAGATTAATCTATAAGTAAAGATGTTTTTATACTGGTCATAAGGCAGCTTTTCAGTCCAAGAAACCACAGCTTAATACCCTTGCTTGACGTGGCTGGTAGAGCCATCAAATTCTAGAGACGTCAGACCTAAGAACCATAAACATATCCATAGACCCTCTAAACAATTAAGAATATCTTATAGGATAACACTTTATCCTTATATTTGCTCGTCATGAGATGAAAGGCCATGTGGCATAATGTGATTAGTAAATCATTCCTGAGCTTCTAAAGAAATTTAAGAACAAAATGAGCTAACTTTTTAAAAGAATGAGTTCTTCAAGAGCCCCTCTTTTGTTACACTGGTGTCTCTCATTCCGTCCATCTTCTTAAAGCATTTAAGGAAGAAAGGGAGGGCTTCCCTTACGCCACCGAAAAATGGGATCTGATAGAATCTTCCCTTAACTCCCGATGCTTTCCGATGTTATTTTCTTCCTGCTGGTTTCGTCTCTCAATGGTTATTCTGTATTTTTTCCTTCATGAAAAGAGAGAACAAAGTAAGAAAACCTCATCTGGTTGCACAGTACTATGGCATCTCTTACAAAGTATGCCCTAGGGGGACATCTGAGTTTGGGTTGATAAATTAGAAGTGACAGAAAATGAAGCCCTGGTCAGAGATAAAAGTAGTATGCCCTGAAGCATTGTGCCCTCATTCAAGAGCCCTACTTCGAGGAAAACTGAGATGCTTTCTAAAAGCATCAAGGAACAAATCTTCCCCTTTTTCCTTGGGTACTTTGTGGTTTAAAGGATTAAATCTTGTCTGTCCTACCCCAAACTCCCAAACCACTGTTACATGCATGAGCTAAAGTTCAAAGTAATTGCATAGTCTCTGAATAAACTGGGAGAAAAAATTATTCCCACAAAATGACACTAAAAATGTTACCCATTCCTGTGGATTTAGGAGATCCTGGCTTTCCAGAACCATGATATACTAAAGAATTTCCAAGAGACTCAAGGAAGGGATAAAGTGCTCTTTCAGTATACACCAGTCATCTCAAACATAAGTAAATATTCAATTTTACAAATCTTTAGGACATAGTCAGAGTAGGATATTAATGTTAGGCCTTTCCAGATCCTGGTTACAGGCCACAGTGACTACAAATACAAATACACATACATACACACACACACTCCCAAAAGTATCATTTATGTTTACATGTAGTAACCCTGGTGATGGTTCCTCATGACCCCTCGAAATAGAGGTTATAAACCAGTAAGCTTTTGCCTACCATCTCCAGATGGGTTGTCCACTGATTGAGTCTCCTCTTTTCATGGGTGGCTTAAATAAACTACTAGGGGAGCGGGGTAAAAACAAGGCCAGTTTACAGAAGAACTCCAAAGTGCGGCTAAATAATGCATTTGTTCTTTATATATTTGGTGGGAAGATTAGTGATTAGTTTCTTTCCTCCTTAGGATTCTCAATGATCCAGAATGGCTTTGACTCTGAATCCTCTCATGTGTAGTGAGAGTCTGAAGAAGCACATTGGACATTAAATGCCCTGAGGGACAGAGAGATGTGACGGAAAGTTCATTGGACTAGAAAGCTGGGAGACCTGGGTTAGTATCCTAGATCTCTCACTAACTAGGCTGTGTGACCTTGGGCAAGTGACTTCCCTTTTCTGAAGCTTAATTTCATTCACTGATAAAATAAAGAGGTTAGACAAATGATCTCTAAGGTTCCTTCTAGCTTTATAATACTAGTAAAACTACAGATGATGCCACTATAAAAGATTCTACAATTATTTAGTATCATTTTTTCACCTTTTTTTTTAAACAGAGAAGGAAAGAGAATCAGGATGCAATAAAGTAATGTACCTGGGGATCTAGAAATAAGGAACAGCTTTAACTTCTTGACTCAAGTTCCTTTTTAAACGTATCACTATTCATGACTACTGAGTCACAATTGGGGCATGTGCTTTTCTAGCTGTTGTGATGAATTTGTACTGGTCTATCCACTCTCATACTTGGTCATTCTTGTGACAAATGGTGTATGTGTGTCTAAGGACAGCCAAAGTTAAGGACGGAATATTTGCTGCCAGAGAACCCAATGGTCAACTGATTACATCTTACATAACATCTATAAAGTGCATGCAAACCTTAAATCTCTATATAAAATCTAGTGATTCTTATCATTTTTACATGGAGATTGACTATATGATTCTACTGTTCTCATTAACATTATTCCCTAATTAACTGAGGTAAGGGCTCAGTAGACCAAGGGCTCTAATTATTTAGGTTAGTGAGCTAGCATTTCTCCTAAGGAAGAAAGAAATGGTCAGGAAGACCATGAGGAATTATACACAGAAGACAAGGGATGTGAACAACAAAGGAGAAGCCACTTAAAATGTTCTGGAAAGAGTATCTAAAAGGTACTAACCTGAAAAAGTAGAAGGCCATTAACAAGCCAGCTCCTAGTAAGGCCCCCACAACAATTCCTGTGACTGCTGATTCTTCTAGGCCACCTGCTTGAAGAAGAATAAAAGGCTTAGAGTTCAATTTGTGAAATAATTAATTAATTTTAATGTTTTCCTTCTCATTGGAAAGTGTTTCCCCATACTTCATCCTAAGTCTATTTTTCTTTTCTTCTTTGGAAAACTTTTCTAGGGAAAATTGAGCATTTTTTCCTAAGAGGGTGTCTACAGAAATGAGGCTCTGGGAGGTTAAAGGCACTGCTCAGTGTTAAGAGTTTCTGCAATCTAGACACAGTGATCTATGAGCATATTTCCCAAATGCCAACCAAAGTATATCTTACTGATCTACAAAATTTTTAGTATGAAAGCCTCCTACTTTTTAAATTTCATGGGAATATACAAAAAAATCTGATTTCATCAGCATAGGAAATTCCAACCTGTTTATGACTTGATAGACAAATCATAGGGATCTACTCAACATACAGAGAAACTAAGTGACTTGCCCAGGGTGTCACAGGTCATAATTAGGAATTTTTGCATATGGAACAAGCAGGATGAAGGATACCCTCAGATGGGAGAGGGTAGACCCATGGAGAAAGAAAGAGACTTCAGAAAATCATAAGGTTTCCCTCACCAGAGAAAACAAGGAATTTGATATCTTCTTATTTCAACTAATTATACCTAAGTAAGTGCTAAGGTCAGTTGTTCCTTCATATTTGCAATCTGAGAATTCTGATTACTTTGAGGTGGGTGTACAATAAATGGCTGCCAGGGTATGCTATAACCAACTAAATATGGCTTTGAGCCCATTGTTAAATTTTCAGTGTTTGCATTTATATATTACAAATCAGGGCTTGATTTATTGTTTTATTGATTATTTAGATTTAAGAAAGTGATGATGAAAATGTTAATTATACAGATTAAACTTACAAGTGTGTTGTGTACATAGAGAGTCAATTGTTAAACATTTACTAGCACACCTCTTGTTATAATCCTTACAGATTTAGGGAAAGATGTCTGAAAAAGAGCTTAAAGATATCCTCCCCCTCCTTAAATAAATGAAAATAAAATATCATATTAAAGTTGGTTGGGACTTTATGGGTAACCTAGTTCAACTTCTTTATTTAAAAAGGAGGAAACTGAGACTCCATCTACATTATCGGTGCTTCATTCCCATAAGCCCTTTTGATTGCATTACCATACCTAAGACTCTAGACAGGCAAACTCACTTGCCAAAGCTCCCCAAAGATTAATTTAACTCTTACAGGAAGGGAATCAAATAAAGACCAAGCCTCTCAGACTATCAGAAAAAAGACACACAGAATCAGTCAGAGTATGGGCTAGAATACATGTCTCCTGCCTCCTACTCCAGTGCTCCTTCGTTCAGGATGAGAAAATCTGGCCTTCTTAAGGGGCACAGGGATGTCAGCCTTCCCAAAGGAGTGGACCCTGATGTCATGCCTTGGGACAAGCAGTTGGGCAGGTTGAGGGGTGGGGAATGACACCTTGGTCCTTCTAGGAGAACTCTGACCCCAAGTTCACCACAGCTCAGGCTCCACTCCTATGGGAAGGCTGAGCATCCTGGGAGGAAAAAACAGTTTCAGGGAAAGAAAAAGTTTTGGAGGCAGAAGCTCCTCAGGAAAGCCTGGCCTTTAAGCAGAGGCTAAAGGGTTTTGTTTCTCTTCTGCTTTGCCCCGCTTAAAATCCTCCCCCACCTGAAAGTTGGCTCAGTGGCTTCTGTCAAGAATCCCTAGGTCTGAGGAAGGGTTCTTCTCTCCCTTTGCAGGCAGCCCAGATCCTGCCATGTGCAGGATCTAGGGCTCTGACATAGCCCCTTTGAGCTCATGAAGTGGTCTATCGTATATTTAAACCTAGTTCTCTAGTACAACACCCCACAGGAAAGTATGAGAAGACAAAGAGGGCAAAATTTCTAGGGGAAGAAAAGGTTCCCAGAATTAGGGAATCAGAAGTATGAGGAAAGCATGGCCCTCCAGCAAGGGCTATCTCCCTTCCCAGATCCTGTCTCATCCAAAGGCTTCCTTTCCTTGTTGGCCAATAATGGGCGAGCAAGGTGGGTGCTTCCTAGCTTGCTTTTGAAGACTGCTTGGCAACTCTGTGGTCCTCTAACCCCGGACAGCAAGATGCCCACTATTACTGGGCACTGAAGGAGGCCAAGGCTAGGGCTAGGGCTAGGCCTCCCTCCCCACCCATAAATGAGAGCAGATCTTGTGACCCACTGGAGGACTTCTGACTTCTCTCTGCCCTTGCCTGAGGCACCCTGGACACAACTAACTGCTCTAAATCTGTGATCTTATAATCTTCAGAGGCTAAAAAAAATCATATCTAGGAAAGCCAAAAATGACCAGTTAGCTCAGTCCTAACTTAGAAGAGCTTTTACTTTAACAAAAATCTTGACTATTTTAGCATCCATATAATTTTTAGGAGTGTATTCACTTGCAGTCATTTGGTAGACTGATAATTTTTCTCTCTTGATATACAAGACTGTTTAAAAATCCAAAATTTTAACTTTGAAGCAGATCCAGAAGGTTTCAAGTATTTTTAGTAGTTTTGATATACCGTTCTCAGCAGTCAGGGAAAAAACCCCACTGCAGTCTCTAAAATCTGAATGTCTCCTGGTTAGAAGAGATGGATAAGTTCTAGTACTTTCTCCTCAAAAGGGAAGTTAAATACCAAGTACTTAAATATGTAAATACCAAAATGCTTAAATATACTTGAAATACCCCTAAATACCAAGTATTTAAAGATGGTGATCCTGAATCTACCAGTCTGAATAAGAAAACTCAGTATAAACCATTGACATAGTAAGGATGAAACCTTCATAAATATTTCCTATGCCTTTTAAATAAAAGAAAAAAACACCATGGTTTGAAATCTTGTGTTACTACCAGCCAAAAAAGGGAAATGCAGCTATGTAATCTATAGGAGTACAGGAATCATGTATGCTGTTTGTTTTATGTATTTGCACTAGTATTGGTGCCAGGGTCATATGGACAGCTTAATAAATGCTTTAGGTTGATTATGACAGTTTTTCTCTCTGATTTGTTGTTTTTGGGGTGTGTAGAGAGAAGGGAATGGCATGTTAAGTCACTAAACTTACGTGATTTACAAGGAGAAGAGTTTGTATGCTCCATAACTCTGGTTTCATCTATTCTTGGTTTTAAAGTACCCCCAGGGTACTTTACATTTGGTCTCATTTCAAAACGACCCAGTTTTCCAAAGTAATCACCAATAACCTAGAGAAAAACAAAAAAGAAAGTCAAATCCAAAAATAATTTGTTCTCATAGGGGATAAAATCATACAGTTCTGCATCATTATTTGAGACAATATGCTTTAAACTCCTTGCCTATTTCAGTGTGTCAATAAACATTAAGTGCCTACTATGTGCCAGGCACTGTACTCAATCCTGAGGATCCAAAGAAAGACAAGAGACAGGCCCTGCCCTTGAGGAACTCACAAGCTGATGGGGGAGGCAACATGTAAACAACAAGCTACTATGTGCAAACAAAGGCACTAGCATTCTGAGGCATCAGGAGAGGCTTCCTGTAGAAGGGGGCATTTTAGCTGAGACTTGAAGGAAACCAGGGAAACAAAAAGGCAGAGATGAAGGAGTACGTTCTACATGTGGAGGATAGCCAGCAAAAATGCCTGGACTTGGGAGATGGAGTGCCTTGTTGAAAGGACAGTAAAAGGCCAGGGTACTAGATCAAAGAGTCCATGGGAGTTGGGGAGTATAAGGTGTAAAAAGGATAATAATAATAATGATGATAGCTAACATTTATAAAGCACCTACTATGTGCCAGGTACTGTGCTAAGCACTTTACAATTACTACCTCGTCTGATCCTCAAACAATCCTGCAAAGTAGGTGCTATCATTATCTTCACTTTACAGATGAGGAAACAGAGACAAACAGGTTAAGCAATTTGCCCAGGGTCACACAGACTGGAAAGGGTTGTGGGGCATGTTATTAAGGGGTTTAAATGCCAAAAAGAGTGTCTTATATTTGATCCTGGAGGTGATAGGGAGAGACTGGAGTTTACTGAGTCAGAGGGGGTGACACTGTTGGACCTGAACTTTAGGAAAATCACTTTGACAGCTGAAGAGAGCATCAAGTGGAGTGTGGAGAGACTTGAGACTGACCAGCAGGCCACTGCAATAGTCCAGACAAGAGAAGATAAGGGGTGGCAGGATCAGAGGCTTGCATGGGGTGTGCAGACTCTTTGGATGACAATTTGCAATTTGATAAATTCTCTCTCCAAAAATAGTACATGACGTGTGCATCTAAAGAATGTGTTCACCTAAAACATTAGCAGTTCACTCACCAGAAGATAAGCTTCTTTAATTTCCGTATTGAATATGTATCTCCTTTTTGGTTTAATCATTTTTTTAAAGTTTCTATTTATTTATTTTTATCATTCTTTTTTAAAATTTTGAATTCCAAATTCTCTCCTTCCCCCACCCACTGAGAAGGCAAGCTATTTGATATCAATTATAAAGCTGGTCATGCAAAACATATTCCATGTTATCCATGTTGCAAACAAAAGCAAGAAAAATTAAGAAAGTAAAAAAAAATTATGTTTCAATCTGCATTCGGGTTCATCAGTTCTTTCTCAGAAGGTGGGCAGCATTTTTCATCATGGGTCCCTTGGAACTGTCTTAGATCATTGTCTTGACCAGAGTAGCTATGTCCTTCACAGTTGATCATCCTCATTGCTGTTAGTGTGTACAATGTTCTCCTGGTTCTGCTCATTTCACTTCGCATCAGTTCATGTCTTTCTCTGAAACCATCCCTCTCATCATTTCTTACAGCATAACAGTATTCCTTCACCATCACACACCACAGCTTGTTCAGCCATTCCCCAATTGATGGGCATCCTCTAGATTGGTTTAGTCATTTCTAAAAAAGATGACTTTAAACTCAAGATCTGGTATTTGTGATGGAATTCATACTCATCAGGACTAGAGGATCTATCAGTTCCAAATAAAGGGTTCCTGAGGCTATGCTGAAGCCAAGTACTGCCAAAAAAAAATCTTTATATAGAAGGCTCCCTGCCTGGATTCCATGAGAACTTTCCTGGTATCTTCAAGTCAGCTGGCTCTTGTAGCCGTGACCTTTGGAGTCCCCTACCCTACATGCACCCCCATGCCCAGCATGAGCTGTCTCTCAAAGTAGCTTTGGTCTCTGGAGAAATCGAATCCTTTTCTATGTGAATCCAAGTTTCATCTCAGCCCTAAAATGAAACTACCCACTTCTCATTCACCCAAATCCCAGCTCAGGGATATTCCCTGGATTTGAGCTCTCCCCCTTCCCCCAAAAAAGTTTATGAATTAGACTTTCTTCTCACCTGAGAAGGGTTAGAAGAGGCACACAGATGTCTCCTCATCTTTTAACTCCTTACTCTCACAATTTATTCACTTCTCTATCAAATGGGAACATACCTAGGAAACCTACAACCTCTATGTCTCCAAGCAAGCTTCTGGCCCTCTGTAGATCCATTTCAAATCATATCATGGAAATGGTTACTGTCCCCAAGATCTCAAATGGTAATGTTTATCCTAACACTATTCAATCAGTTTGTCTTTTGATGCATTAATGTACATCTCTATTTTTTACTCAGAGAGTCCTTAAAGTTTAACAAGAAAAAAATGCATAATTCCATAACACTTCTCTTGTCTAGCACACCTTCTTACACATAAGAGCCAAGATCTGATTCTTGATCATCTTCGAGTTGTGGTGTGATAAAATAGTAATCCAGCCATCAGGCCTTGTATTTGGCAGTCACTTAGGGAAGCCTGTTTCATCAAACAGGAAAGAAGTTAATTTAGTATGCTTGAAATTGGGTGACTCAATAAGACTCACATGCTTACCTCTTGAGTACCTGCTTCTGTATCAGTCATTGCAATCACAGAGAAATCACCGTATCTGTCTCCATTGGCATCAATGGATACCTGTCCTGCAATACCTGGAGATGGCATACCAAGAGCTAGAAGTCAGTTACTTAAAATACTTCTCTCCCAAAGAAAACATGAAAATGAATTGACAGATTTTTAAAATAATATAACAAACTAATACCAGAGAAAACCTCATCAGTCTCCTAGGTGTTTTTGTTGGCATTTGTAAAGAAATTTTAATTTCATCTGTGTCTACATTCCTGAATTCTTAACATTTTTTTTTAATTTAAAAGGAAAAAGAAATGTGACCTTAATTTGGAAATATATTAGAGGGGGAGGAAGGGAGAGGAATTACTCCATAAATGAAGAGTGCCAACTGAGAATCCTATATTAAAACTGTTGAGTGAAAAGTTGATCTACATTCATAGACCTTGTGTTGAGGATGATTAGGGAAAGTATTAAAAATTATTTCTGATTCTTTGAGGCCAGTGTTAGTACAAAGACAAAGAATAAGGTAAACACTTCTGGGTCCCCAATACACTACATGACTGTTTACTAAATGAACCAACATGAATTGGATCTTATGGTTTGATAAAGTTTTATGAGATATAACTTTTGATACTCATTTAAAAATATTTATTAAGTACATGATGTGTTCAAGGCACCAGGCATTGTATAGAATGCCAAGATGATTAAAATTAAGCTCTTTGTTTTCAAAGATGTTATGATAATGTTGTGCAGAGTACAGTAGTGGGTCTATGATTTCATTGGTATAGGGAATTCCCAAGTGAACAAATTCCCTCCACCAGTTCATATTGGGACTTTATCTTCATCTTGTAATCTCAGAAGCCTAGAGTCCCTGAAAAGTTAAGCAACTTGGCTTCAAAGTCAGCTCTGGAGTGACTATACTTCACTGACTCTCATGTGGAGATAGTATAAGTATGCAAGTAACTATAAAACAAGTTAGAAAGTGATAAATGCATAAGAAATGTACAAATGTTAAGGTAAGGGTTTAAAAGAGAGAAAAGTCATGTTTTCTATCACTTTTTTCTTTAAAAAAAAACAACACACTTTTCCTACTAGAGTTGGGAAGATAGTTTCACAAAAGAAATGACATCTGAACTGAGTCTCAAAGGATGGGTAGGACTCCCTCTTGGAAGCAAGCAAGTGTAGACTATGAACAAGGAACAACAAGTAGTCCAGTTTGGTTGAAACAAAGAGTATATGAAGGGGGAAAGTGGGAGATGAGACTTGGAAATGTAGAATGGTGCCATGCTGCTGACAGTCTCTGAAGTTAAGTTACAGAGTCTGTAGTTTATTTAGTAATAAATAGGTAACCACTGAAGGTTTATGGGTCCCCTGAATTTCATGCCCTTGGGAGTCTGTATAATTTTTAAATGATAATTATCCTAGTACTCAAAAACACATACTCCATCCTCAACTGTGAATTTTTTTTCCATTCAAAATATCAAACAAAGCTCAGGTTAGCCCCAGACCATGGTTACAGTTCTAAATGATCTGCTAAGAAATAAGGTGAAACCACTAGGTGAAAACTCACAGGGTTGCAGATTAGTGAGTTCACCTGAGGTTATTGTACAAAAGGTGAGATCTATCAAGATCGCAGCATAAGTAACATTTCCCTTCACTTGGGTTTGCCTGAGGTGAACTCTCTCTCAAGAACTGAGCTGCATTTCTGGGTGTTCCTCACTCTGACTTTTCACATCATGATGAAATTCAACTTTCTTTCCAGCCCCTTTATCAAAAGCTTTAAGAAATCAGTCATAGTCATTGCTATATAATCCAAATTTGCTAAATAATCCCTTGGGTTTTCTACCCCCCTTTGATGACATAATGGTTGCTTAGAGGATCCGGAGTTTCTTTTCACATAGCCTTCCTGGAGTTCCTCATGTGCCTTCATAAATGTCCCACGGAGACATAAAAGAGGAGACTCAAAAATGTCAGCAAAGCATAGTGGCTAATAGACTCAAGACAAAAACTTCCTTTGGCCTCAGTGACACATTTAAGGATATATAATTTTACTCTTCAGTCTGAATTTTAGAAATGGCCATCACTACTTTATCTCATTCCGCTAGTGTAGCTTGGACCATAAAACTGGTATGAGACAGCAGCCCAAGGGATACTTAAGTTTATGGCCCGACTCTGGACTGTGGTATTCCAATCATCATGGTAGCCTGCCTTTTCATCAAAGACCTCATTGGCAGCACTGTGTAACATCTCAAAGTTCTTGCTCTTTAAAAAAAAAATTGTCAGGAGACTGAAATATGACCATACAAAGTAGTAAGTAATTACTAAGAATGGGAAGTGTCCCACAGAAGATATGTCAACTTAAGCTATTTCCTCAGAGCAATAAATAAATAAATAAATTTAATATATTATATATTTATTATATGTAATATAATTATATAGTATATCATTCTATACTGTTATTAATATATAATTTATTATATATTCATATACAAACACATACATGATATATAGCCTATTATAGCTATAATATGTATTATAGCTATATATAGCATATATTATTAATGTTTTCTACATGTGTGAATATGTACAGGTGTATGCATATACATGTGTATATACACATACATCTTACTGGTAAACGTGTCTATGAGGCAATGTCAGCCAGTTAGTCAACAAGCATTTAAGTGTCTACTATGTACAAGGCACTGTGCTAAGGTCTGGAAATACAAAAAATTCAAGAGACGGTATTTACTCTCAAGGAGGGCAGGCAGCTAGGTGGCATACTGGATAGGGCTCCAGGCCTGCAGTCAGAAAGGCTCATCTTCCCGAGTTCAAATTTGGCCTCAGAAACTTACTAGCCACGTGACCCTGGACAAGTCATTTAATTCTGTTCACCACAGTTTTTTCATCTGTAAAATGAGCCGGAGAAAGAAATAACAAACCACTCCAGTATCTTTGCCAAGAAAACCCAAATGAAGAGTCAGACATGACTGAACAACAATGACAAACTCTCAAGGTGCTCACAGTGTGTAAAGGGGGAAACAAAATGAAGCAAATATATACAAACAATAGATGATGAATTGGAGATAATTAATTAATAGAAGGAATGGATTAACATTAAGGGGGACCAGGAAAGGCTCCTCTTAGAAGATGAGACTTTTTAGCTGGATCTTGAAGGAAGACAGGCTGTGGAGTTGAGGAGGGAGAGTATTCCTGGCACAGCGACAGCTAGAAAAAATGCCAGGATTCTGGTAAGGGAATGTCTTGTGTGCGGACTAGCATGGAGGCCAGTATCACTGGATCGTAGAGCAGGTGATTGGGTATAAGGTGCAAGAGGACTGAAAAGGCAGAAGGGGATCAGATTGTGAAGAGCTTTGAATACCAAACAGAGCATTTTATATTTAATGCTAGGAACCACTGGAGTTTAAAATGAAAGGGAGGAGAGATATAGAATGAAAGTTAGTGGAAATGAATGGATCAAATGAAGATTTTTTTGAGAATGAGAGAGAATGAGAGGTAATTTGTAACCACTAGAGAAGCAGTGAATAAACTAGCAGAGATTGATGATAAGTAGAGAATGAAAATAATAGAAGGGGTAATCTGATGGAGAAGATAAGATAGAAGGAGATCACTTGTCAGCAGAAAGGTTAGGGATGAATAAGCAGATTTTAGAATCATTAGCATAGAGATTCTAATTAAATCAATGGAAGCTGATGAGATCACCAAATGAAACAGTACAGAGGAAAAAGAGAAGGTGGCTTTGGATAGAGACCTGGGAGATATATCCACCTTTAGCCTGCACAACTTGAGCAAAGATTCAGCAAAGGAGACTGAGGAGTGGTCAGCAGGAGAACCAGGATAGAAGAATGTCATGGAAACTTAGAGAGAAACGGCTGTCAAAGAAAAGAGGATAATCAACAGTGTCAAAGGCTTCAGAAAAGTCAAGAAGGATGACTATTTTTTTTAAAAGGCCATTAGATCTGACAATTAAAAGATTGTAACTATGTGAGTAGAGAGAAGGGGTTGTATGTGAGAGATGTTGTGGAAATAAAAATAGCAAGATTTGGCATCTCATTGGATATATGGATTCATGGAAAGTCAGGAATCAAAAATAACACTCAATTTTTAACCCTGGAGACTGGAAGAATGGTGGTATCTTTAAAAGAAATAAAGACATTTGAAAGAAGCGTTGTTTTGGGGAGGAAAGCAACGAATTTTCCTATTGCTACCCATATAGCTTTAAAAATCACTTTTTGTCATGTCCTTAGAATTCTTATCAGGTATCAGTTTGATCAGGGTTTTATCATTCTTTACATTCTTTCAAGGAGGAGGGATTGTCTAAAGAGATCTAAGTCTCAAGGAATTCATGTACTAACAAAAATTTTTAAAAGCAGAGAAAAAGGAAGTCAGGTAATTGAGGATGAATAACTAAGAGTAGCATATATCTGAAAGAATATCAAAAATGCTAAAAATTCAGATCAAACTAAAGAAAATGAAAGAAGAGAATGAGATTAACACAAAGATGTTGTTGTTCAGTCATGTCTGACTCTACATGACCCCATTTGGGATTTTCTTGGCAAAGAAACTGGAGTGGTTTATCATTCCCTTCTCCAGCTCATTTTACAATGAGGAAACTGAGGCAAACGGGGTTAAGTGACTTGCCCAGAATGAGGTTGGATTTGAACTCAGGTCTTCCTGATTTCTGGTTTGGCCCTCTACCCACTGTGCCACGTAACTGTGGGTACAAAGATGCAGCTGGTTTAATTATCGTCTTTATACCAATGACTTGCATATCTACATATACAGCCCCGGATTCTCCACAGAGTTTTAAATTCACACTAGCAATTGCCTATTGGACATTTCAAATGTATTAGAGACATCTTAAATTCAACAAGTCCGAAACAGAACTTGTTTCCTCTTCCTCAAAACCACCCTCTCCTCCAAACTTCTCTCACATCCAACACCTTCTCTCTGCTCACCTAGCTGCCACCTTCACCTAGTCTCTCATCATTTCTAGCCTAGACTATTGCAATAGCCTCCAAATTGAGCTCCCTTCTTCCGGCTTCTCACCACTTGATTTCATCCT